TTTTGTATTCGGCGGCCCGAGCCCGCCCGAATTACCCAAATTTTTTAAACTTTTTTTTAATATTAAGTTATTTATATATATATTGGTATTACAATTTATATATATATATATATTATTTATATATATATTACAATTTGAAATGAACACACGAATTCGGGTTTTCGGGCAGAATTCGGGTAAAAATTCAAAAAATAGTCGTTTTCGGGTTTTCGGGCAATTCGGGCAACTCAGGTTTTCGGGCAGAATTCGGGCAAAATTCAAAAAATTAGCCGTTTTCGGGTATTCGGGCACCTCGGGCGGGTCGGGCAATTCGGGCAGGCGGGAAAAATTTGGGCAAAATTCAAAAAATTTCAAAAATTCGGGCTTCAGGTCGGGCAATTCGGGCACACCCAATTTTCGGGCAATTTTCGGGCTTGGTCGGAAAAATTCAAAAAAATCCCGGCGGACGGGCGGTATATGGTCGTTAGACGGCGGCGGGCAAGGGTGGACATGTCAAATTCGGGCTGCCCGAGCCCGAACCCGAATTTCTTACTTGGGCGGGCAGGAATTGGGCCGGCCCGCCCGAGCCCGAAAAAATTCGGACTTTGGGCGGCCCGCCGACCCAAAGTTCCAGCACTACTTTTGCTATTAGGATTCTTTTTCAAGATTTCTTTTTTTTTTGGAATTTCTTTGGTAGTCTCTCCGAATAAGTCTAGTCTCTTATTTTTTAACTATTAAATTTATATCATAATTCATCTATTCTACATATTTTTTTAATTTAATATTATTTTGATTAAATTTAACTGTCAAAAACTAAAATTATAAGAGAAGCTATCTCTTTTTTTTTAGTTGGTTATGAAAATATAATTGGCGTATTTTTATTTTATTGTTAAATGTGTATCAGAGTATGTCTATTTTGTATATTTTTTATTTTGATTTGATTTTAATCAAATATTATAAAAACATGTACATCATAGAATCTTTTTTTTAGGGAGGCTCTTGCTCTCTATATTTGACTGTTAAAAAAAAGTAATTCAACAGTCAAAACATAGTATTATACTAATGAGTGTTTTAGAGAGTCTTACGATAGACAAACCTTTATTTATTTATTTTTTGCTTTGCATTCTTTTATCGTTAGATTCACATATACATCGTCTCCATTTTGTCATTGGAGCCTGTGACTAACATTAAATCCATACTTTTTATTCAGAGCAAAAAAGAAATCCATACTTTTTATCATAAAAATATAATCATATGCATCAATACATTTGTGGTTCGCGAGTTTTCGGGTATCACATATGTAGAACATGAAATCCTTAAAACTTAATCGGAAAATTTTAAGTTTAATTATTGTTTTCTCTAGCTCTATTATTTATGTCACTCTACAAAATTCTAATGTCACTACAGAAAATGATATGCAGGATATAAAGTGATAATTTGGAGGTTACGAAATATAACATGCAAGTTACGAAAGATAATCTGTATATTATTAAAATATAACATACAGATTATTAATAACATAAGATAAATTTAATAATAATAACATAAATAATATAATAGTGTTACTTTATTAATCACATTTTTAATATAGTGTCTCTCCTTCTGAGGCCGGCCATGCGAAGGACCAAAACATGGAATGATAATATCATGTCTATTATTAGGCAGTGGTGATTCAATTGTTCGAACTTGAAAGCATATAATAAAATTCTCCACTTATTTGTGTCATGATTTACTTTAAGAAGAATTATGCATCGTTAACGTTATTATGAGGGGGAAAAAAAAACTATACGTGCATCTCTACTAGTAATTATGGTCATGATTAATGATTAACCAGCGTAGAACTCGCATTGTAATACTGTGAATGCAAAGAGGAGACAAAAGGCTAACAATCAATTATATATCACTTATCATGTTAAGTGATATTAGTAAAACAAAATCAATTTTTTTCAACCCAAAAAAAAAAAAAAAGGCAAAAGCTAAAGTGAAAGAAATAGAAGAGGGCCGGGTGGGGGTGGGGGTGGGGTAGGGTAGGGAGAGCCTGGCAGGAGCACATGAGGCCCCGGGTTTCACGTTGGGATTTGGTAGAACCCTAATTATGATGCTTTTACTTTGTTCATCTCCATCAGAAACTATTTTACCTGCTTTTCCTCATGTCTTCTCAAATCTCCCTGCAGCAGCTTCTTTCGTCAACCAAACACACATCAGTCACACATCTGATCTGCTGCTGATGTTGTGATAGTGATGATGATCATATATATGACGCTGTGTATAAATAAATAAATAAACATATATATAGATAAAGTTTTTAATTGAATATCATATGTATATTTTTTCTAAAATATATATTTTTTATTTTAAAATATTTATATTATCTTTTAAAATATGTATATATGTGTTTAGATAAATTATAAATATCTCTTTATATTATATATATTTTAAAAAAAAATATATACATTTTAAAAAAAATATACATATTTTTAAAAGAAATGTATATATATATATTGAAGACAATTTCTGTGTATATATATATATATATTGATTTTGATATATACTACTACTTGGCAAAGAATCATGACCTTTTTTATCCCTCATGCTCGTGCACAATATATTCTTCTCTTGTTCTACTCTATAATCGGCAATGCTATTTTATCACTTGAAAGTTTGAAGCATATACGAGTAGTTTTAGCTCTATAATAATCAGTACTAGACATGCATGCGATAAGAGCACATGAATTTCGAAGTGGAAAACCACATTAATTAATAATTGATATTAATCAATTAGAGGCAATAGTTTACTTGTTATTACTCATTACGTGACTATTAATCCTAAAGGTAAAGGTGTTATCATTGCCACTCAGTAGACATATATTGTTAACT